AAGCTGACCCAACAACCTCCCTTGGAGCTTCCTTGAACAATGCCTGCCAGGAAGGCTCTGTGCCTTGCCTAAGGCAAAAATGGAAAGGGCGAGAGGCTGAGGTCCATTCTCAGAACGGAGAGTAGATGGGTGAGAGAACAATCAACTGAATTCTTTGGTGGTGGGGGAGACTCAAGAAAGGGGGCATAAGTCAAGATACTAATCCCTGGAAAAGGTTTCTCTCTGGTTGGGACTCCCAGTTCATGCAGACAATACTGTGATGATGGCAGTGAAGAGAGTAAACCGTGACTGCACAGCTAAACGTATGCCTCAAATAGGAAACATGAGCCACTACTCCACACTATATATATTTCCTGGGTTACAAATGGTCTGAGTTAGCAACAGACAAATGCTGCTCATTTGAATCAAGGGCTGGCCTGCAATCATCCTTCCACCTAATGTTCTGGCTTCTTTCCTGCCTAAGAAGGTTTTTAAATGTTTGGTTGAAATCCCAGTGCAAGCTCTGGAATCTGCTTCCCTGCGTGGTTGCACACATTTGATTCCTGAGATTTTATTATGGAGAAAAAGCAAGTTTCTCATAGTTCTAAGGATGTATTTGAAAAAAAAAACAAAAAACCTGTATCTGCTTCTTTAAGATCCGCTCAGACCTGGCTCCCCTTTTTACTGAAGCTAAGTAAGAAAGATAAGATTGTGAAATCAAGCCATCGGTGCAGTTTATTCAGCTTCTGCCTTCTTCTGCAGAAAGTCAGCATCTGATACACTAGAACTTAACATTTTCAAACATCGTTTGGCAGCCAGCTCCTACCTGATTACCATGGTATCACCTGCCTTTTCACACCCACACACTCACAGAGAGCTAATTTCTTTATGCAAAACTGGGTTCGCTGCTCAAAGTCCTCTCATTCGCCGCCCTTGAAAAGACTAGCGTCTCAGGAGCAATACAAATGCTGCCACCTGATAACAAGGGATGGTGGGGGAGAAAGAGAGATGCATCGCAAGGGTCCAGAAGGAGCCTTGGCAACGAAAACATTTCTTTTAAGGTTGCCCTCTTTTCCCCAGCTCCCTCGGTAATGAGCAGAAGGCTGCTTTCTTGAAGCGTTTGCAACTAGCGATAGATCAGTCACTGGAATTCTTTGCTCGGGTGTTGCTTCTGCAGTGGGGGGGAGGGGGGAAGGACCCAAGGTGATAACAACTTTTCCTGCAGAATGGGAGGGGGCAGGATTTGTACATTATGGGGACGTTTTAATGAGAAACCACAGCTCCACCTAGGGGAGGCTCAAGACAGCCTGGTTCCTATGAGGAAGAAGATTCAGGATGAAGCTACAGGTATGGCGTGGAACAGAAGAGCAGGACAGGATGTCACCTGCATGGAGATGCAACAGGTAGGGATCTGTGATTAGGGATTTCATTCAAGAAAAACACGAGAGCCCTTTCAAATCAGAATAAAGGCTCAATATTTAAGGGAAGGAAGCAAATAAAGCCCCTCCTGGTATCTAGTGGTGTGCTGAAAACCGTGACTTGCTTCATATATGACGGTTGATTTTAAACATGGTTTGATGAAGCAGCTACAATTAGAGGGATTCACATGGATCATTAAGCCAGGGGACTCCCAACCTACGGTTTGTGGAAGTAAGAAGCAGCAATGCAATATTGCATTATCCCGTGCACCTTTTATGCATGTGTTACTCATAATGTAATCTGCTTCGCAAACATCTTTGTGGAAATAAACTTTCGATGAACTGAAATAACACAGTGCCAAATGTAAGGGCACATTTAGTTGTTAGAATACCACCCATGGACGAATTAAATATGTTGAGAACACCTTATCTGTGTGGGTGACTGCAAAAGCTTTGACAATAACGTTGTTGGGTAGTCATCTGCATAAAGGCCCACCATAAACCAAGATTTACCAAGCACAGTGACCAGTGATTTGCAAAACGCTAGAACCAAAGTGCATTGCAGTTCAGCACCTTGAGTGAACCCCATCAAAAGTACAGGGACAAAGTCTACAACACAGCATGCAAAAAATTCCGGGTTCAATCCAAAGAACGTGCAGCAGATAAAGAGACTCTTCTCAGGTTGGTTCACACATTACACTAGGCCATAATGTGGTTGGGTTGACCTTGGCTTAGCATGATATGTGACCCTTATCGTTGTCATGAACTTCTGTTTAGCTGACGCCAGACAAAATTCTGGGTTAGATGGACTGACAGGGCTGGCTGGGGAATTCTGGGAGTTGAAGTCCACACATCTTCAAGCTGCCAAGGTTGAGAAATACTGGTTTCATGGTTAAGATGGCATCAGGGAGATCCAGATTCAAATCTCCTCCCTGAACAGAAGCTCACTGGGTGGCTGAGCCAATCACTGGCTCTCTGTCCAACCTTGCAGGGTTGTTATTGTGGGAAGAAATGCAAGGAAGGAGCGCTATGCACATTGCCTTGAACGAAAGGTGGTACATAAATCAGTGTTTCTCAACCTCAGCAACTTTAAGACGTGTGGACTTCAACTCCCAGAATTCCCCCAGTGGCTGAGGCTGAGAAAGACTGATATAAATCAAACAAACAATCAATCAAAGAGCCTGTATTAACCTGCGCCATGTCCAGGTAAGGCTGTGAAAGACCCTAGCAGAAACCCCTGAAGACCACTGTCAGGTAGCATCAGCACAACTAAGTAGATGAATCAACGGCTAGCAAAAGACAGATTCTCATGTGCCTGGCTATTGAATACAGCCATCGTGACTAGTAGTCCTTGACAGGCTCTTCCTAATCTCCCTTTTTACACCACCTAAATTAACAGCCACACAAAAGACCCACAGGAAGGCTCACCTCCTGGAGAGGTTTTCATTAACAGGAAACTCAAGCCCCTCACCCTCCTTGCAGAGAAAGTGGAAAAACCACATTCTACGCTATTCTCCTCTGTGCTTTTAAAACATGAAGCAGAAGATGGTTCAGAGTGCTGTTTAAGAAACAGAGGATAAGCCACCGTGAATGTTATTTCTGGCAGAAATGCTGCCTACAGTATATACCATATTGTTCCAGCTGTCATCTGTCACCCCATTTAAGCTCTTAGCCGCATGCAGTTTTTTGTTCCAAAGAGCTACCAGGAAAAAAAAAAGCTTAAATACAAGCCCGGTCGACTGAATTCTCTCCCCTATGTAATGATGACAGCCAGCACAGACAGCTTTCAAAATCTAGGAGACACAGGAGGCTGGATAGGTGATTTTGAGCCATCACAATTAGCTTAGTCCACCTCAAAGGGATACTTTAAGGCTAAAAGAGACATCATCTTGAAGGACAAGCAGCTATAAGTATAAACCTTTATCAATGGCTGCAGTCTTTGCTCAGCTATGGGAGACAAACACCCTTATGTTCTACAAGTGAGAAAGTAGAAAGGACACCCGCTGGCTGCAACTGGAGAATACAACTCCAGATTAATTGACGAGTCTGATCTAACCGAGATCTTATTAATGTTTAATATTACCATAATAGGACAAAGCAAAGGGAAACAGAGAAGCGTCAAAAGCAAAAAAGAGTGTGTTATATTGTTCACAGTTTGCATTGATGTTATAATCTTTTAAGTGATGGGAACTGAGTACAAAGGCAAGCCTAAATAACATGGAAGAGAACAACTGCAAACCTGGTGGCTGCAGAGAGCTTTACCCAACACAGGAAGGGTATTAAAGTTTAGATCAGTGCTGTTATGAGACATTGGGCAGGTGAAGAATGAATAATAGACAATTTCTGACTCTTCTGGGGAGAAAAGACCCCTGAAGATGAATTCAGTTAAGGCGCAGAAGAAAAGTCTGTTTAGAGAGAAGTCACTGACATCATGGGAGTTGTTTATGGTCCTCGTCATCCTGGCAGGCTACCCAGTTGCTGCAATGCCAAGAGCAACAACGGTGCTGAGAAAGTTCAGGAGAAAGAGAGAAGGAATATTTCCCCTAAAACTCACGGAGACATCCTGGAGTTCATCATCAGATGCTATCAACACGTTCCACGCTGATGCAGCATTTCCCTGAACATTCACGGCACTCCACAAATGCTACCAAAAGAACCCTGACGACAATCCTGTCAGCTGAGCCAGTGCAACGGCCAGCCGAGACAGACTGAGACCCACAACTTTGTACTGCTACACACATGCATCCGGAACCCCACGTAAATGTGACAGCACGGGGGAAAGAGACAGTTATTTACTCCATCTTGTGAGCTACACAGATAGTGAGATGCTCTACATTTCATCATACAAATCTAAGTCTGCGTTAGTGCTGGTCTGAATTAGACCTCAAAGTTGCTACTGTTAAACAGCTAGGAGTAGAGAGCCATTCTGACCAACTGTAAGTTCCCAGAGAACCATCAGAGTTCTAGATCTCTGTCCTGCTCACCCACTGAGAGAGGCTTAGTGTAGTAGAAACAATGGAGGAACAATTCATTCTCAATCAAGTGAAGTCACATCGTGTTGGTGTTGGCACCTCTTTTTCCTGTACAGCTAGTCCTTGCTTTAACCACTTGTTCAGCGACCATTTGAAGTTATGACGGCACTGAACAAGCAGGACTTATGACTGGTCCTCGAAGTTCTGGCTGTCACAGCACTCCCATGGTCATGTTATTGCCATTTGCAATCTTCCCTGCTGGCTTCCGACAAGCAAAGTCAATGGGAAGCCAGCAGGAAGTCGGAAGCTGTGGTCACACAAGGTTCTCGCTTAATGATCTGCATAGTCCTCACTTAACGACAGCAACCAGGACTGCCAGAACTGCCATTACTAAGCAGCGCAGCCATGTGGTTTTTCGACTTACGACCACATCACTTAACGACAGCATTCCCAGTCCCAATTAGCATTGTTAAGTGAGGATTACCTGTACTCCAAATCCTACCATTGTAGCCAAGGAGGGAAATACATGGTAATCATGATGTTTGTCCTTCAAAAAACACTGTCCAGATTAATAACACAAAAGGAAGAAGAGAAGGGAGAATCTGATCTGATTTCCCTCTCCTGCACTCACCTCCGTATCAGGGACTGCTGCAGGCTTTTGCAAACTGTGAGCGATTCCCCCATGAACATGTGGCACATGATCACCTCACGGCAGGCAGTCATGAACGACATCACAGCATCGGACTGCAGTGTCCCACTCCGGGAGATGATGCAAAGACGCTGCAGGGAGGAACAGCAGCTCAAGGCGTGGAAGAACTGAGCATTGGCATGGAAATAGGGCTGCTCAAGCCTGCAAAGAAAAAGAAGGGTCAGTTGGACAGAGCTTGGTCAGTTCTTTAAAGACACTAAGAAGTGGCAACCTGAAGGGGAGGGAAGATGGGCAGGTGGATCAGGGTGGCTTTCAGCAGAGAGAAAGGTGGCACCAAATCTCTAAGACAATCCTTTCTGGTTGCAACTCAAATAACTAACGTTATCTTTTGGTTTAGAGTTTATTAAATGCATGGATTGAACCTTCCACCTACCATTCTCTTAAGGTGGTATTTCTCAACCTTGGCCGCTTGAAGATGTGTGGATGGGGGATTCTGGGAGTTGAAGTCCATACATCTTCAAGCAGCCAAGGTTGAGAAACACTGCTCTAGGGCAATGTTCAGTTAAGAAGAATCAAGTAGACCTTACTAAACCCTAGGAGAGCAAAACACATACAGTAAAAAAGAGGGATCAGCATTATAAACATCATGAAGCAGCTGGGAATTTGGGGACCTGTAATCCAACACATTGGGGGGGGCATCTGTTTAGGGGAACATTGCAGCCACATATCTTTGACAACAGAGCAGGGCTGACAAGTTACAGCTTGCAATTTGCCACTCAGTCCACCAGATGACACTGTTGCTTTACCATCTTCTGAAGATTTTTATTTTTTATTTATTTATTTATATATCAAATTTGTCACCGCCCATCTCATGGAACGACTCTGGGCAGTTTACAACACAGTTAAAATCAATTAAAATTACAAAATTTCGATAGTAAATAGAAAATGAATAGATCCAAGAATAATTGGCAGTCACTCAGGGAGAGTCCTGACAGTTTCCCTTTCTAACTCTTCCCTTAGCAGCAAGAAAAAAGATTATACAGGTGAATCAGACAGAGAAATCAGCCATGATTCCCAGATGGTGACATCAAACTCACTGCCCTGTTTTGCATGGGAACAGGCCCATCTTCCTCAATAAGGAACAGAGTCCTCTAGATACCTTAACAATGACAAGCTCTTAAGGGCTTTCTGCATAATGGGCCATGCCTATTTAACCTCAAAGGGTAAACGGGAAAGGGACCGGTGGAAGACATCTGGGGAAGGTGACTCGAAGGAGGTCGTGGAGCAGGAAACACCCTTCTCCTCTCCCAAGATGTCATGGAACGACATAGAAGGACCCCAGACTCCTCTTTGTCTTTCCGGGTGCTGCCCGCCGTTCCCCAAAACAGGAAAAGCAAAGGAAAAAGCTGCTGGGTGCCCTCACCTGAGGTCTTGCAAACATCGGCAGTGCTGCAGCATGTCCACCAGGGCTGACACATACATCACTTTCCCCATCAGGCCCAGGTTGGCCAACGAGAGAGCCCGGAGGCGCTGGCACTGCACCCCAATGTTAATTAGCCCAGAGCCCGTGAGAATATTGGGCAACTGAGCCAAAGTAAGGCTCTGCAGGAATGCCAGCTGGCCGATGGCAGCTACTTCAGCATCCCCAACATGCTGGGCCCTGCTGCAGGGGGGCAGTGAGTTCCGAATGGCCGGCTCGTTCCGCGGCATGGCCGAGGAGAAGCTGGAGCCGATCAGTTCCAACCTTTCCAGAAACGGGAGGTTTTCCAGGAGAGTCCAAAAGACAGAGGACTGAGGCCTGGCATTGCTCTGCTCTGAACAGTTCCTGGGATATGTCTGCACCCCAATCCGGACCTTCTTCCCGAAACCTTGAGTGACCGTGTGAGCCACCGGCTGAACAGAAGGCTTGTCGACAGTCACTGTGGCAATGTCAGCGACAGCGCAAACCGGCAAAGCCAGAGAGAGGAGGCCTTTCAGCTGAGCAAGGACTTGGCACAAATGTTTCCCCAAGCCTTCGGAGCTGTGATGGTGGGCAGCGGAGAGGTTCAGATGCTTCAGGTTACAGCAGGCGGTGACGAGGGCTTCCACGATGCTGCTGTCGATGTCATCTTCCGCTTTCCGCAACAAGGAATCAGGGGACAGGCAGTGGACACAGCCGCTCAGGTTCAGGCTGACCAAACTGCGGAGGTCTTTGCCGCTATTAAGGACCCTCTGGACAAGCTGCCCCCCGGACAAACTGCAGCGGCTGAAGCTGAAATAAAAAGGGTTGCTGAACTTCAAGTGCTGCAAGAGGCTGGAACCATTCATCCAGGATCGAGGGAGCTGCAGGGCGTCCAAAGTCACATTCCTGGCCATGGAATCCAAGAGGTTTTTAACAGCACAGCTCTGGGCAAAGCCCCCAGGGGCAGAGATGAGGAAGGCATGCAGCTTCTCAGGTGTCCGATCGCTCAGCACTGCCAAGTACAGCCTCACAACTTCCTGGTTGACTGGGCCAGGAGCCAGCCGAGCATAAAAGACTCGAAGGTTCTGGTAATGGGGTACATTGCTCTCCCCCACCATTAGCTGTCCGGAGATTATTAAACCCTCCCGCGATCGATCGAGGATCTCAAAGTACAACAGTAGCTTCTCAAGACTAGTGCAGCAGGGCACCACGCCGTAGGATGGTGTGTAGAGGGTCTGCTTGAGCTCCAGCACGCGGCTCAGGGTGGCTTTGCATTCGCTGCTCAAGTGGGAGGCGTCAAACCCCGGGTTCACGTCGATGGCCAGCGAGCGAAGGTGCTGCAAGGCAGAGAGCATCTTTGAAAGGCGAAGAGAGGTGAGGTGGCAGCCGGATAAGTTCAGCTTCACCAGGTTCTTGCAGCGGGTCACTTGATCGACAGTCGAGCCAGGCAACCAGTAGCAGCCAGTCAAGTTCAGCTCATGGATCTCTTTTCCAATCTCCTTCATCAGCTGCTTCACCTTGTCTTTGTCCACCTGCACGGAAACAACCAGCAAGAAGAACTTTAGGAGTTCCAAGGATCTCAGTTATGCCAGGCCTAGTTTTAGTTATGAAACTTAGGACAAGTCACACTTGCCTGTTCAGGGCTTGAAGACTGTAACGCCAAACTTTATAAGTCCTACAGAAACTATATGGAAGGGCATGGAAACACCTTAATCGTCCCTACCCAGAGGCCATCTGTGATGTCAGAGCATGGTTTCTCAACCTTGGCAACTTGAAGACATGTGGACTTCAACTCCCACAATTCCCCAGCCAACATATGCTGGCATATGTGGGAGCTGAAGTCCACACATCTTCAAGTTGCCAACGTTGAGAAACCTTGTGTTAGAGGCCTCTGGAAATCTCTCCAATGCAAACAAGAAGGGCTGTAGGCCTGCTAGCTGCGCTGTAGGCCTGCTAGCTGGATTACAAGCAGACACAACTGTTTCCTTTTAGCCTGGAAAGGAAAACACACAGACCAGTTCCTCAAAACCAACTTTGGCCAACTAATGTTCTCTGGATGTGTTGGGATTACAACGTTTAAAGATCCTGGGTAGCTTCAGCATATCTGGAGGAGCAACAGCTTGGCAAAAGCCTGCTCTGAACACACTTTTTTCAAGCAGGGAAAAATGGTTTTAGACTGGGAGGCCATGTCATCCTGCAAAGGACAGGATGACGTCAAGATGTGCATTTGACATGGGATAGTGGTCTCCAGTTAACTGGATCAAAGAGTAGACTGACCACCAAACTGACCAGGCTTAGGTGACAGTATAAACAGACCAAAGGGTTGCATTCATGTGGAATCATGAGTTGAGGACAACTCCAAAGAAAATCAAACTACAGCATTTTCTTTCTTATATCCTTCTTACAGTAAGATGAGGGAAGGATAACTCCCCCATCCTAAGGCCATAATAAAGCTCAAAGTAAGAGATTTTTAGGGCGATGTCTTCAGTCTCCTCTTGGCACATAGTCCAGAGAGATCCACTAAGTAAAACCCGAGATTTCTGAACACCCAGTTCTTCCAGCTCCCTCCTAATTCTGGAACTTCTTCGACAGCTCACCTGATAATCTTTATGCAAGATCACAGTGTGAGTGAGGCTTTTGTCAAGACTAAGGACAGAAAGTTTCCGACAGACGCTTCGGACATTCAGGACAAGATCTGACACAGGAGTATATCGCAAGATGTGTAAGAGGATCTCATCTGAAAACTCCATTAAGTTCATGCTGAGGTTCTCCTCCTGGTTCTCCTCACTTGTTACTTCCTGCAAGAGAAAGACAGGGACTCAGAGAAGACACCAGAATTGAAAAGGTGGGAAAGGAATCAATCTGATTCCTCAAAGGACTCGATCAACTGAGAACTGTTGTGATATAACTTTTACGCGGTTATTTATCTTCTGAACTCAGCCCTAAAAAGACAGCTTAATGGATGATTTAATCATATACTTGCTCAAGGAGGAGAGGCAATTATCTTTTAGGGGCAATTGAAGCACCACAGAAACTGTTTCAAAATTCAGCATCGTAAGGCTGAAGGCTGCCTATGGCAGTATAGGCACCCCAGTATTCTGCCTGCATCATACCTAGGCTAAGGGCTTCCATAATAATTTATTAAACTTGTATGGTGGCCAACTCTCAATGACTCTGGGTGGCTAAACAATCAAAGAAATTACAATAAAAATAATTAAATATAAAAGATGGCAAGGGTGATGAAACGAGGGGTCTCACTCTCAAGGGGTCTCCTTCTGTCCTTAGAAGGGCAACACTCCCCTCCTTTCTGTTTCTGAGCACTGCCGGCTTCCAAGATGGCTACTCCTTGTATCCTCAGGAGCTTTCAGTGCAAAGGGATCCCCAAGATTATTATTATTATTTATTTTTTTGGTACTTTTGAATCAGTGTTAACTCCTGGTGATTGCCTGGACAAGTCCCTGCAGTTTTCTTGGCAAGATTTCGGAAGCAATTGGCCCTTGCCTTCTCCTTCTTAGGCCTGAGAGGAGGACTGGCCCAAGGTCACCCAGCTGGCTTCATGCCTAAGATGGGACTAGAAGTCACAGTCTCCCAGTTTCTAAACTGGCACCTTAACCAGGACACCAGACTGGTTCTCTGATATGAATACCCTTCCCTCTTTCTCTAATCATCATCATCATTTATTAAACTTGCACGCTGCCGGACTCTCCGGTTCGTCCTCCCTTGCATTTCCCCAACTTAAGAACTGTTAAGAAAGTTGGAAGAGGAGGGGAAGGCAAGACCAATACAAGATCTATTCACCGAGCAGGCTGTGGACGATGGGAGGGGTGGTCCCACAAAGGGTGTCTTGAAAGCCCTTGCCCTTAAAATGCGGGAAGGAAGATTCAAACAGCTGGCAGGCGATCACAGGAAGTGGGCCCAGGACATCTGGAAGGTGGCAAGACTGCCAGTCAGCGCCTGGCTGGCCTGCAGAAACCCACCCCCGAGACCCCGCCGCCCTCCAACGCGAGAGGGTCCAGTGCCAGAAATAGGACCACCCCGCGACTGAGGTCCTGCCAAGCTGCGTCCGCAGCTGCCCAGCAAAGCCCCGCGCGGCAGCTCCTGCCCTGACACGCGACCTCCCCGGTTCAGACGTGCCCCGCGAGTCAGAGGTTGCCATGGAGACGCCAAGGCGAGCCGGGAGGGCGAAACACTCCGTCCGAGGCGGAGGCCGCGGTTGCCTCAGGCTTACCTCTCCGGAGGAGGCCATGGTCCGCAGGCCGCCGGAAAAGATCCCTGCCCCGGCAGCCGGAGACGCTCTCCCTCGGCCGCTCGTCTCATACGGCTTCCACTCAGCCGGCAGCGAAGCGACGCAGTGCTTCCGGCGCGCTCCTGACCTCACTTCCGTCCCCTTTCCTGGTCACTTCGACGCCGCCATTTTGAGTGAGGCGCCGCGCGGCAGCGCCATCTTGGGCGTGGCCTCTTGGTGCCAAAGGCTTCTAATCGCGTTCTCCAAGCGGGTCGTGAAGGAAGGAAACTGCCCGGGTTTTGCCGACGGGGGAGGGCACCCGATCCGTGCATCTGGATTTTGAACCTTCTCTGCAGCGGCATACACGTGTCTGAAGGCAATCTGCAAACCCTGATCTCGGCTGGCGTTTCAAAGCCTATCGAATTGCCAGCCTGGTTCCCTCCACATCAGTGTTTTTCAAACTTGGCAATGTGAAGTTGGGTGGACTTCAATTCCCAGAATTCCTCTGCCAGCATGCATGGACTTCAACTCCCAGAATTCTGGTGGGGGAATTCTGGGAGTTGAAGCCCACCCATCTTCAAGTTGCCAAGTTTGAAAAACACTGATGCTGATGCATTGGGCGTCGTGTGTGGTGGGAATGCCACCACTGGGTCTTGCAAACCATGGGTTATGGTTTTATCATCTGCTGTGAAGTTATGACCCACCATAATGTCAATTTGATAGAATGATCAAATCATGATCAATGATCAAATGATAATGTCACATTGATAGAATGACCCCCTAAGGGCTGCAACTTGCACAAACTGTCTCCAGAACATGTTGTTTCCTGAGAATAATTGGTATACTGCTTAGAATGGCTAAGCAATTGAAGGTGTAATAAAGATAAGCACAGGAATTGCTGGTTTTGCTTTTGTGCACTTCTCCTCAGCTTTTAGAGCAGTGTTTCTCAACTTTGGCAACTTAAAAGATGTGTGGACTTCAACTCCCACAATTCCCTAGCCAGAATTCTGGGATGCATGCTGGTGGGGGAATTCTGGGGTTGAAGTCCACACAGCTGCAAGTTGCCAGGGTTGAAGAACCGTTTTAGATGGACCAGTCATCTCGACCATGAAGAGCCTGAGGCTCTTCTGATTTCGGGTTTGTTCATCTACCCAGCCAGGAAAGCAGCAAAAGCAAGCCCTTGCTTAGCTCTCCCACCCTTGCCTTCTCCAACCCAGAGCCCTCCACCTCTCAGGATGCAACTGTCATCATTCCCAAATCACCTTGTCCAATGCAGGAAGAGCTGCAGCCTCCTCCAGCGAGGGATACTCAGCAGACAATGAAGACAGCTACAGAAACACCCATCACTTTAGGAAGCAGCTGTGCTGACAAAGGGGTTGTTCTTATCGAAATTCTCAAATCTCCCCTCCTATAACTTAACCCTAACAAAACTGGCTTAGCTCAATAACAGCCACCAGCTTTTGGGCCGGACACATGGATTAGCAGGCAGTTTCCTATCTCCAGGAGTGCAGGTGACATCAAGTCATTGAATAACAAGATGTTGAACATCCCATAGAAAGCTTTGAATCGATGCATGAAGCTAAGCCAGATTAAATTCGAAGTTCTTTGATCAGTGGAGTTTCTGATCATCCCCAACTTCAGCAGCCCCTTATATATCTCTCCCCTCAAAATACTGAACCTTTCTCTTCCCCCCCCCCACCCAAAATGTCTCTTGCTCCAAATGTCCCTGAAATGATTGAGAGTTTCCCCTACAACTGGCTATGCAATCAGATCCCACAGCCCACGGGACAGGGAACAAACTTAGAAGGGTATTTTTTTTTCCTAAACCAGACTTTGAACCATATTCAATTCTGCAGCCACCTTAAAAAAAGAAAGCAATAGCCAAGGTGGCTACTTTAAGCTGTTCGCTGCTGGGACTAGAAGCCAGGTGTTGGCTCCATTTCAGATGTGAAGAACCTATCAAGTTTGCTATCTAGGGAAAACACGACCCATCTATTTGGGAACAGAAATACACCCTACAAAGGGAGGTTGGGAGAACTTTATGTAAAGCAGCAGATTCTCAGAGGAACTGTGGAGAGCAACTGCGTGCTCTTTCTAACTTGGAGTTAACTCTAACCAAGTCAGAGCCTTCCCACTTTGGAGTTCAGTTGTTCTTCCCATTTCCACCTCCCCCCCCCCATGTTGAATGAAACCTGTTGCATTGTTAGAAACCAAGCAATCCACAGCTATGGTTGTGCATCTTTATTTGAAACTGGGTTTTTTTTTTTTTTGAGTCAGTGTACAGTTTTGCCTGTCCCTCCCTCTGCCCTGGTACCCCTTAAAACATACTGGCATCAAAAGTGTCTAAGGGTGCTTCCCTCTGGGGATGGGGGATTCGGAAGGGGGGAAGAGACTGTAAGCCTTCACATGTAGATTGGGAAGAAGAGAAACACACACAGCCCATTTTTTTTTGTTTTACTTGACCCAAAATTTCTTAAAAAAAAAAAACCAGATGACGATCGAGTGTGGCTTTTTTTTTTAAAGTTTTGTTTTAAGGCGCGAGATACAGAAAAAGACGCTTGAATCACTTCATGATTCACATACAAGCAACACTTTCTAGAAAACCAGAAATCTGTTTCTGCTCTTCTGGAAGGGTTGGGCTGGTGCCTTCACAGAGGCTGGGTTTAGCTTCCTCTCAAATGCATTATACAATATTTGGAATGACTATTGTTTTCAAAAAAGAAACAACACACACATACAATCGAAGTCCTCCGATGCACTGCAGAACTGGGGGGCTGGGGGCTGGAGGGGGGTGTTCGCTCCAAAACTTTTTTTTTTTTGCTTTTTTAATAAAGGCTGCTACCGTTCAAACTTTTTCACCGTTCCAGTTTTTATATCCTGAGTCAAGCGCCAAATAAACAAAGCCATGCCAATCTCAACTTTCGCTTATGCGCAGTTATGGGGAATTTTTTTTTTGTCAAAAAAAAAAAGAGGAAAAAAAATGCTATGGTGGTTAAGTCAGTCCTGCTTTAGAAGCATTTGCGGTGGACAATGGAAGGTCCAGATTCATCGTATTCCTGCTTGCTGATCCACATCTGCTGGAAGGTAGACAAGGACGCCAGAATGGAGCCCCCGATCCAGACAGAGTATTTACGCTCAGGTGGGGCAATGATCTGTAGGGAGGAAGAAAGGGAGAGCAATTAGAACTAAAGCAAAACCAAGCTACTGGTCCTCAAGATCAGCAAGGGGCAAATCGGTTTGGACCAAGGGCTGCGTGTTCACATTCAAAGGAAGTGTGGGTCTAGACAAGTGCTCCCCAATTCTTGCACCAAACCTCCAGTCTATCAAGCACGTGGCCCATCCAGAGGGGACACTGCAAGACTTCCCACAAAGAGAGCTGGCAGAGCACCCTAGTGGTTGCCAACCCAGCTTGTTTCTTGGGGCATTGGCTGCAGAATCACGCTCAGCCAGACGACGTCAGGGTGTCCGGGCTAAAACAACAGCCTTACCTTGATTTTCATTGTGCTGGGTGCCAGCGCTGTGATTTCCTTCTGCATCCTGTCAGCGATGCCAGGGTACATGGTGGTTCCACCAGAGAGGACGGTGTTGGCATACAGATCTTTGCGGATATCAACATCGCACTTCATGATGGAGTTGAAGGTGGTTTCATGGATGCCACAGGATTCCATCCCTGCCCCAAAAGAAGATCCCCACCGTTAAGACAACTGCGCCCCAGAGACCCTTTCCTTCCAGAAGCCGTTCCACAAAGGTTCAAATTCTACTTGAAGATAGTGGTCCTTCATGACTTACCCAAGAAAGATGGCTGGAAGAGAGCTTCTGGGCACCTAAACCGTTCATTGCCGATGGTGATCACCTGTCCATCAGGCAGTTCGTAGCTTTTCTCCAGGGAGGAACTGGAAGCTGCAGTGGCCATCTCCTGCTCAAAGTCCAGGGCAACGTAGCACAGCTTCTCCTTGATGTCACGCACAATTTCTCTCTCGGCTGTGGTGGTGAAACTGTAGCCTCTCTCGGTCAAGATCTTCATGAGGTAGTCGGTCAAGTCACGGCCAGCCAGGTCCAGACGGAGGATGGCATGGGGCAAGGCGTAACCTTCATAGATGGGCACAGTGTGGGTGACACCATCACCAGAGTCCATCACAATGCCAGTGGTACGGCCAGAGGCATACAGGGACAGCACAGCCTGGATGGCAACGTACATGGCTGGGGTGTTGAAGGTCTCAAACATGATCTAGATTGGAGGAAGGAGACAACAGTTAAGAACTTGGCCAACAGAGTCACGGTCAACAACATGCGCAGACACCACCACTGGAGAAGTCAACACATGCTAGACAGATACAAACCTTCATCCCCCAGGTGTTAAGGCACACCACCCTCATTTGCATTTTCCATTTTGCAATTTCACCAGGTGAGGAAACATGACAGAAACCACTCAGAACAAGCCAAAGTTAGTTGGGGAGACAGAGAGGAAGCAGTGATGCCCACAAGCTGAGAAGACCAAGAAAAGAGAGAAAGCCAATTTGGGGGGGGGCAGGGGGAGAAAGAGCAGATAAAAACCTTTCCAGATCCAGCAAGAGAGATTCAGATCAGAAAGGAAAATCCTGCGGAGATGGGGGATAAAAAAAGGGAAAGAAAAGATGAATGAAGAGAATGAAATGATGGCAAGTACCCTTCTTGTAGACAGCAGGAAAATGTGGAGGGGAAATCATGGATTTGCAAGGGACCACACGGCCCACCCAAATACACACCTGGGTCATCTTCTCTCTGTTGGCCTTGGGATTCAGGGGGGCTTCCGTCAAGAGCACCGGATGTTCTTCAGGGGCAACTCTGAGCTCATTGTAGAAGGTGTGGTGCCAAATCTTCTCCATGTCATCCCAGTTGGTGACAATGCCATGTTCAATGGGATACTTCAGGGTCAGGATACCTCTCTTGCTCTGCGCCTCATCCCCAACATAGCTGTCCTTCTGACCCATCCCCACCATCACACCCTGGGGAAAGAAGACAAGACATGGAACCACACGGCCATTGACAAGGGCCCTGGTAGAAACCCAGCTTGCTGGGTGGAGCCCAGTTATCAAAACTGGATCTTCAACAGCCTGGGTTAAAATCCAACATCTGGATTGA